TTATATATTTTTTAAAAATTTGTAGCTTGTGAAGCTTAAACTTGTTGTTTTCACAGTCTAAAATTATAGATTTTTCACTCCATCATTATCATTATCATTATTATTATTATTATTATTATTATTATTTTGTCTATGTTCTATATATTACGATTCAAAGGATTCAACAATCCAATCACTGATTTATTGATTGAACAAATAACCCGATGACCCAATAGACGGATGAGTTTATAGCATTTCTCTTAATTAGGAAATGCTCTATCAATGAATTAAATATACCGTGTAATTTAAAAGTACTTAAATCAATTCCAGCTGTATATCATATTCAAATAATATTTTAATATAGTTCTTTTAAAAAATATTTTTTTAGTTGAATATATATTAAAATAATACTTTTTATATCAATAAATTAAAATTATATATATAAATATATTAATTTAATATCTCTTTAAATAAAACACAAATAGAAGTGAAGAGCAACTCCGGCAAAAGAAACAAATAGATAGACAAAACTAAAAATACTATCATTTTAGCTAATATCTTTAATTTTAATAATTTCAATGAAGTAGCTATTTGAATAATTAAAATATCTTTTTTTCAATGAAATGTTATTTTTATATATTTATGTAGAAAAGTAAAAATACAAGGAGAAGATATATATACTCAAACTTTAAAAATGAAAATTTTAATAGTATTATATAAAATTAAAAATTGAAGATGTTTATATAAATAAATTCTGATTTAAAAAGTTTAAAATTTGAATTTAAAATTATATCTTTTAAATTTAATATTACTTTATTAAATTTATATTTAATTTTATGAATTATTCGTATTAATTGTATAGTTAATATCATGATTATATTATATAAAAAATAATTGAATTAGTTATATAATTATATTAAAATAAATTATTATAAAATATATTAAAATATAATTAACTCTTCTAAATAAATTATTACTATTAAAACGCATATAAACCACAAAAACTATATTTATACTATTTAAAAAACCATCTCATCGATTTGGCAAGCTCTTGAAAATAGCATCTTCTTCGAGTTGCTCTAACGCAGGAGTAATGTTCTGAAAGCATCGGAACAGACCCGTGAAACCGAGTACGGCGCATTTTGTAGCAAATCATAAAATAAGAATTAAGAGTGGTGTTTGGAGGCAGGGAGACCGAGAGAAAAAGGAAAAACACGGAGCAGAGAACATGGAGGTGGACAAAGCAGAGACTCAAAACCAACAACAGAAACACAAGCAAGTACATCTGTTTTACTGCTTGGAATCCGAAGAGCTTGCCCGTAAAATTGCCGGTCACTCTGATCTCATCACCCTGCAATCCATCAACTGGAGGTCCCTTCCTGTATTCTCTCTTTTCTTCTCGTGCTGCACGTATTTATTATTATGTTCAGTTTGTTATTCTTTACTTTTAATTTTCGTTCTTATCTCCATTGATATGATGTGGGTGTTTGCTGTTTTAGTCACCTTTCTTTGTTCCCCGACAAAGAATGGCTCTCTTCTCTTGATGTTGGCTTATGTGGATTTGTTTGTGTGTCTATGGAATTATTTTTTTGTCATAGATAAATTCTCTTTCACAATTCTACCAATAGTAAACTTACTGTAAGTTCAAGACTATTGTGAAAAATACAACAAATTTGTAAG